ATCCAAGGTTCGACCGGCAGAACTTAACGCCTTTCCACTTGTTAAAAATATATTTTATCCAAAGTCTATCAAGGCACATATTTTTAAAAATATATTTTTTCAAAGTATATCAACGTCTTATATTTTAAATATATATATATATACATGTATTTAATTTTGTATATTAGAAGTATAAATTTTTATCACAACCTTTGAAATACATCAAACAAAACACGAAACCCCTGTATATTTGTATTCGGACTTATTTACGAACAGCAGAAAAGATAAATTGGCAAACAAGCATCACCAAAAAATTATCTATGATAAAAACAAAAAGTTGAAAAAAAACTACACAAAACAACTTCGATATAACAGATGTATTACCAGAGGGTAATAAAAACAATATTGCCAAACAATAATAATATTTATTTGCAATATAACAAGGGGGGGCGAAAAATTGTAGTCATATTGGTTATTTTGTGTGTGTGGGTGTTTGTTGTATATATTATCTGTTTGTCAATGTGACAAAAAAACGAAAAAAAGTAACATCGATGCCAATATGATATTTAAAGTTTTTGTGGTTCGAATTTGTTGTGAAGTGCGGGAATGGTTTGGTAGTGATAATTAAATAATAGGTTAAACATTGTATGTGTGGGTGTATATATGAGGGTTATATTTGCAAATATTTATATCCTACACAACTATGTTGTCAGGGTATTATAGGTTTGAGCAGCCCCAAGAATTTGTAATGCCGCGAAATATTGGTCCTAGACCCACCTTTACCGATCGTCAAATCTCGACTAGATGAGTCGATCTAGACATGTGTGTTCTGGACGCTCCAAAGGCCGCAATTATGGGCCGAACGTCGGGCCCTGGAATAAGCACGCCTGTTTTGATAAAGATTGTTCAATATTTAGCGGGTCAAATGACTTTTGTGTGAGAAGTTGATAGTATATCCAAGAAGAGTAGTTGACCTATAAATTGATACCAATTATATTGTCGTATGTACTCGGATGTGGGAGTTACACGTAAATATTTGCAGGTGTGTACGTTATCAGATATTATTTAGTAATCCAATACCACACTAGAGGACCAAAATATAGCGCTGATCGCTTTGAAATGTTCCATGAGATTCCATTTATAGTCCAGGACAACGCCCGTCCGTCCGCCTATAATTTTCGGTGATGATCAGATAATAATTTTTGGATGAAATGGACCGAAATCTTAATTCTTTCGGGTCGATCTATAGGCCACAATTATAAACCGAACATCACAACACAACCCACGATGAAGGGAATTTGGACAAGTAATTACAAGGACTGTACTGAATATTAGTAATATTCGCAAAATGTGTCAGTGTAAGGAAGAGGTGCTGTATATATCGAAATATAGTACAGGCACGGAATAAACATCCGCAGAAAGTTAGAGTTTCGTGGTAGTCGTGTAGGGTATCGTATGGTCAGCCCCGTCCGCTGCTCTGCTCACTGATTTAATATGTTAATTGACAGGTTGAAGTGGTCTTTTCGGTTACTTTTTATACCCTCCACAACACTGTGGTACAGGGTATTATGTCTTTGTGCATATGTTTGTAACAGGCAAACTGAATCGAGATAGACCCATGGTTCCTTTTGAGAATATGCACAGAATCATTTTCTGAGTCGGTTTATGCTTGTCCGTCCGTCCGTCTGTTGATGTTAAATTGTAAACAAAGTACAGGTCGCATTTATTATCCGATTTGGATGAACTTTGGCACAGCTCACTTTTTTGGTCCAAGGACGAACCCTATTGAAATTGGGAAAAATAGGTTCAGATTTAGATATAGCTCCCACACATATATTTTTGTCCGATTTAAGGTAAATGGTGTACCAAAGTCCCTATATATCTTTTGATTTGCCCAAAATTTGGCATAGCGAAATGAATTAGGTCTAAAATGATGTGTGTTAAGTTTCCTGAAAATCGGTTCAGATTTAGATATAGCTCACATATATATTTTCGTAAGGTTTAATGAAAATGGTGTACCAAAGTCCCTATATATCTTTCGATTTGCAAGAAATTTGGCATATAGTACTTAATTAACTCTAGAATAGTGCACGTTAAGTTTCGTGAAAATCGGTTTGGATTTACAGATAGCTCCTTTATACATTTTCGTCGGATTTAATGTAAATGGTGTACCAAAGTCCCTATTTCGTTTTGCACAAAATTTGGCATAGTGTACTGAAATGAGTCTGGAGTGATGTGTGTAAAGGTTGCTGATAATCGATTCAGATTTTTTCTTCCGATTTATGTAAATTGTGCACTAAAGACCCAAAGTTTGTCCAATTGTCACACAAGTTTGTACAATAAACTGTAGTTAATATAAGTTAATCTCTGTCATTCTCATTGAAATCGGTTCAGATTTTGATATAGCTTCTACACATATATATTTGCGTCCGATTTTACGCAAAATTGACACAAATTTTGCACAACGTACTAAAGTTTTGAAATCGGTTCAGATTTGGATGGAGTTTTTATATACATTTTCTCCCTAGTTTTGGCAATTTTGTCCCATTGTAAGAAACAACCCTATGTAGTAATGTAGTATAGGTTGCAGAATTCGACGTCTGTTAGCATTCATCTGTTGAATATACCTAAAAGTGGTGGAAGGTATCATATAGTCGCCCGACTTTACTACTTTCCTTACTGGTTTTTAGAAGTGATTGAGAATTCATTTAAAACGGGGTTGTAGCAGGTCAGAATGTTCTGCACTAATATGTCCCATAAAATTTTACTATAAGTCTCAGAAAGTCAGCCTAAACGTTAACAATTTTAAATATTAAAATGAAAACTCATTTTAGGGTTAAACCCGAACTTATTCCCTTGCAGAAATGTGCCAAAATCTTCAATAAGACTTCATCCTGGGAGTATTTCTTCAAAGACAGATTTATTCTACGTAGAATTTCACTATTACTTAAAGAAGAGAAAAATTTTGTAAACACGATATTTATTTGTAAAAATTGTGTTTAATTTCCAAATAAATTGGAAAATGAACCAAATTTTATTATTCGGATTATTTTTTGGAGTACTAGTCCATGCAGTTTATATTTGGTCTAAAGCAAGTCTGCTGATATCTTAAAATAATCGTGCAGTACGATTTGATGTAAACGGTCCCTATATATCTTTCGATTTGCACGAAATTTGGTACAGCCTAATCATTTAGGTCTAGAATGATGTCTGCCAAGTTTCGTGAAAATCGGTCCAGATTTAGATATAGCTCCCTTATATAGTTTCGCCCGATTTCATGTAAATGGTGCCCCAAAGTCCCTATATATCTTTCGATTTGCCTTGTTTCCTGAAAATCGGTCCAGATTTAGATATAGCTCCCTTTTTTATAGATTGATTTTAAGCAATTGACGCACCAAGGAACTAATTTCCGCGAATAATATTTTTAATACGACATATGACATTTTAACTTATCTACAATATAATTTTACCACCCAATTTTTGTGGTTCTTAATGCGAAGGTTTCCAATATCCCATTTTATGCGGAAAATCTTACAGATAGAACTTTGGTATTGAGGGTGGTCCATATTGAGTCAAAGAACATGTACCAATAATCTTTAGTTGACGGAATTAAACAAAAATGTATTCAGTAATCAATTTTTTATTAGATGTAAAGCTCCAGACTGGTCAATACATTTATCCGATTCACATTAGATGGGTAATGTAAAGACCAAACCTCCACAGGCTGTGAATGAGAAAAAAATAATAACAATTTATAAAATAATTTTCTATTCATAAATTACATAATTGCCTCTCACCTATAATCACCAGCGTTATAATGGCAAATATTCCATTACAATATGGCTCCAGCATGGCAGCAATTAAATTAGAGGCCACAATAATCCCAACACGACCCATTGTCAGACCAAGACTCACAGTTTTGCCCCTGAAAATAAAAATAAATTTCAAATTAAAAAAAAATAAATCTATGATAGGATTCTTTTTTCTTTACTTCAAATGCGTTGGCACCAAATCCACCAGAGCGCCACACATAATCGACATCGAAAGACCCGGCAGCAGAATATATAAACAAAACAGCACCAACAGACCAGTGGTATTTGTTACCACATGCAAGAGTAGACCACAGACGGCACCTACAGCCAATGCCGCGAGGAGTACATTTTTTCTACCCAGAGGATTGAGTAGGGCACCCTGTATCGAAAAGCCCACAAAGAAGGCCAAACCCACAACAATGTTGTCCACATAGGTTTTAGTGGCGATGGTGTCATCACAGGCCTAAAAATTATTTTTTTTTTTAATTTTTTTCCAAATAGTTTGAGGATCGATAACTTACCGTCTCCCCAATATTTGTGGCATCCATGGCGGCCATATGATCCCTGGCATATGAGTCTTCCAACTTCGCACATATTGTAGAGCTGACATTCTGTACCCCACCCGCTGACCTATTTACAATTTCCGGGAACCAAATTTGCATACCATTCGATGAAAACAACATACCAAACATGGCACAAACGGCCAGGATAACATTTATGCCATGGGGTTTGTGGAACAATGGCAGGGTGGCCTTCCAAATGTTCGATATAAAACTACAACCCCCAGTGCCTGAGACCAAAGCTGCATCTGAAATTTCTTCAGGTTTCAGTACAACATTTGGAGTCTTCAGTACCATTTCTAAGTCCAATCCAGTATTGAGTTTTGAGACGTAATTCAATGCCTTTACCGCCTCAGCATGCCTACTGACCATCGAAGGAGCCTTGCAATGCAACATCGACGAGCAATAAGTCCGCCGATCTCTCTCAATAATGCGACATGGGCGGATGCGGCTGGAGCTGCAGTTGACGGTAACCCAGCAATCCCCGCCGTAATGCTGAAATAAATAAAATTTGAAAAAAAAAAAAAATGGAAACGGGATATAGTTCATATCAATAAATCTATTAAATTCCTTTTTATTTTATTTTTTGTTGATTATCCTTTATGCTTCTTCTTTTTTACTTACCAGGCACATAAATGGCCGTTACGCTTACAAAGAACGTTTGTGGAATAATTTATGGCCACTGCTCGATATTTGTTACTGGTCAAGTA